AACTAGAAAAAAGTTGCTGTTAGACTACATCTCCCAGAATTCCCCAGCTACTGACCAGGCTGGCAACAGGATTCTGTGGGTTTTTAGCACCCAAAACAGAAAGAAGAAGAAACAACTGCTTTCAGGGTGAGGACCTGACTTGTAGAGCCCAATAGTTCAGCCCTACAGGAGCCACTCTGACCCTGGGATCAACTCAAAAACATCAAAGGGAATAAGAAAGGAGCTGCTTGAATCCTGCTGTATAAGGAACCAAAAGCTTTAGAGATGCAGAATTACCAGGAAGCATTTGCTTCAAAAGCTCTTCCAGAAACTCCCTTTGAATTTCAGATGGAGCCCAGAAGAGTTTTTGTTATCTGAACAAGCTGACATAGGATTGACCTTCTCTTGCCACCTGGCTCTGTTGGTGTGCATCGGAAGACACTTTCCAAACCAAGCCCTCTCTTGATGGGATGTCCCCCAGGACCAAAGTGGCAGCCAGCCCTTATCTGTAGAATAACAAGCCAGTATGGCCACTGATTGTATTGTTTGGTGGTCCTGGGACTTGTATGTAGTACCAGAAATATATTGTTTCCAATTTCCAAAATTAACAATAGAGACATCCTGGGAGATGAGTTACTGAAAAGAAAGGTCCACTGACCAAGGATGATAGGAACTGTAAAAGAGAGAATAATAGTTGTGGAAGTATGGAGAACCAGATCATATAATCCACAGAGTCACTAGAGGAGTGACCAATTGAGATTGCTGGTCCTCAGGCAGAGATGAGTAATTGCAGGGCCCTCCGGATCTTGATGAACGTCAGCTTTCAGCAGTGCTGGTAAAGAATGCTGTGGGTTCCAGTCCAACTATATCCAGAGTAATACATAATTCTGATTGTGGAATTAGGAGAGAAAAAATACTTCACTGTAGGACACTAGCAAAATAGGGATGATTCAATTCCTAACCATTTTCCCTGATGACACCACTAAATATATCAGTGTCTCACTAGGGAATTAAGTCTGGGCCTTGGTAGTTATGAGAAACAGTTATGAGAAGGGGATACAGTTCATGAAGGGGATACAGCTCGGTTGCAGGTTCCAGGTGCAAACAATATATTTTCCATTAAGAGGCTATCTGGAAATTGCTGGGCTGAACAACTCCATGTGTCACTAGAGTTCAATCTCCATTAGTCCACTGACCAAGGATGATAGGAACTGTAATCCAATAGCAACACCTCAGCAAGCGAGAGTCCAAAAGTGGCAGGCGAAAACCCAGAACCTCAAGCCATAGCTGATGCTGAATGAGAGACTCCCCCCTCGGCACACAGAAGACTGGGTGATTTGGAAGGCGCTGAACAGACTGCACTCTGGCACCACAGGATGCAAAGCCAACCTTAAGACATGGGGTCACAAAGTGGAGTCCACAACATGTGACTGTGGAGAGGAACAAACCACAGACCACCTATTACAATGCAGTCTGGGCCCTGCCACATAGCAACACCAGAGGCATTCCAAGTGTCCAGCTACTGGTCAAATGACATTTAGTACAATGCCAAGTTGTTTAAAACCTTGTGTTTTTCAAATACATTACAACTGTACCCTTAGTTCACTTCTGATACGATATAAATAAATCTGGATAGTCCACATCACTCTCCCCAAGTAGACTACACTGGGAAAGACAAACCAGTGTAGTCTACTTGGGGAGAGAGATCTCATACTTGGGGGGAGAGATCTACTTGGGGAGAGAGATATCATATATGAGACTTTCCTCTTATCCTTAGAAGTACCTTTCCACATACAGTTAGCATTGCAGAGAAAAATGGGGAGAAAAGAGAAGAAAAACAAAAGAGGCTAAATCAGGAGTGCTAGAAACTTGGAAGGGAATAGTAAACTTTATTTAGGTTGAGGTAGTTTTGGTTGAAAATATAAAGCAGGAGGAAAAGAAAATTTCTCCAGCTTAAAATACTAGCATATTTTTCTTAAAATCTAAATAACTATAATAGTTAGAAATAATAACAAACTCAACAAAGTTTTCACTTGTTAAAGTTCTGTTCATGGCTAATATTTGAGGGAAAGTCTGCACAGTCTATGCCAGGTTGCCCCACTTTTGCGGGGAGAAGGGGTTGATCTGTGGGGAAGGAATAATAAATACAATATAGGGGGGATTGTAAGTATAGTCTGGCACAGCTAGCTGTATGCTGAGCAATTCATTCTATATGATAACACAGCCGTGAACACATTCAAATGTCATCTTTTCAATGCATAAATCTCATGAATTTCAGTTAGTCAACTCCCAACTACTTCATCACACTAGAGAATGCATCCACTTTAAATCTGGTTTCCGTCTCTTGCAGAATTCTGGGATTTGTAGTTTAGTGAGGCTGTTAAAGGCTCATCCCTAAACTACAAACCCCAGAAATCTGCAGGAGGCAGCAACTGAATTTAAAGTGGATTCATTCTCTAGTGTGAGAAGCCCAAATGTATGATCAATCCAGTTCATTGCGTTTTCAAAAGCAAACTGACACCGATTTAGAAGTAAAACTTGAAAAAGTGGCTTTGCTGGACTATGGCTGCTAGAATTATTCATTTACAGGAGTCCTGTCACCCAGAGTACCTTATCCCATGTAGAATAAATAAGGTAATAATCCAGGGTGTATTGTATTTCATTTTCTCCAATGGATTTTAAACACATTCCAATTTCCAAGCTATGGATTCAGCATCTCCAAGGGTAAAGCAGATCTTCGACTATTTGGAATGTTTCTTGCTGAGAAAGGACAGGTTGAGAGTTAAGCCCCTGAGCTACTGAACTTGCTGACCGAAAGATGGGCAGTTCAAATCTGGGGAGTGGAATAAGCTCCCGCTCTTAGCCCCAGCTTCTGCCAATAGCAGTTTGAAAACATGCAAATGTGAGTAGATCAATAGGTACTGCTCCAGGGGAAAGGTAACCACACTCCATGCAGTCCTGCTGGCCACATGACCTTGGAGGTATCTATGGACAATGCCGACTCTTCAGTTTAAAATGGAGATGAGCACCTACCCCCAGAATCGGACACTGCTGGACTTAATGTCAGAGGAAAACTTTTCCCTTTACTTAAACTGGCCATTTGAAGTTAGCTGGAAGCTGAATTCTAAAAATCCTTTACAAAATTGGAGAACAAATTTGGTTAAAATTCCAGGTCTGTGAAAGAAGCAACATGGATCAAAACTATTTCAGGCTAGCAGTAGTTAGCAGGTGGAGGCACTGTTCTCTTCTAATAGAAAACTGAAGATGGGAGAAAATTATTCTCCAAGGCCTCTGGTGTTAATATAACTAAGGAATGTCTGTCAATCCAAACTATACATTTCAACACTTTTTTTACAATCAGCTATTAAAAACACTGCTGAGAAATCATTAGAAGCAAAAAAAAAAAATCCAAAACAAAACAAAAAAATGTCTCTGTTTTAAGAATTTCACACATAATATCTTACATGTTCAGAACAAGAAAACACTGAATCCTTCCTGCCTCTGTTTTCTATTGTTGAAAGTGCATCTCCTAATTGGGGAGAGGGGAATAGGCAAAGCAAAATAGTCCCTGAGATCAATTACTATTGCTAGCATGGGCACTGTATGAGGCAGGCACTGGGATTAACTAGAAAATTCTAACACTGAAGTGGGAATCATATACTCCCCTTGTCCCATATTATTGATCTGCATCTCCCAGCACTCCCTAGCATAAATTGTTCTGGCCAAGGCTACTGGATGCTGTACTCCAACAATATCTGGACAGCTCCTTGACTCCTACCCCAGTTACAAAAGAAGTGGGCACCGGAAAGAGGTTGGTGGAGGATCTTCTTGAGTGGTCATTCCCCTATTGTCAAAGTCTTTAGGTCACAGATCTTTTTCACATTGTACAATTATAGAATTTTGATACCGCTTCAGTTGCCCTGGTTCCATACTAAGCAAGCCTGGCTAGTTTCATAAGATAGTCAGAACTCTCTGTCAAAAGGATGAGATGCCTCACAAAATTACAAATTCTGGAGTACAAAAGTGAGTATGTGGTGCTGCCCTACCAATGGTGGCAGATGCCTCTGTGAACCACCATGGAGTGGAAGAAACACAGAACCAAGGTGGTGCAGTGGTCTGCATGTTGGATCTTGGCTTGAAGATGCAGGACAGCAAGAAAACTGAAGTATCCTGAGAGCCAAACATTCTCATTGCACTCCTGGGTGGGGATGCATATAGGTACCTCTCCTATATTTGCCCCATTCCATGTGTCTCTTGGCCATGGAGCAGAGTGGATGTTATGGAAGTGGCAGGCATGGACAGGCAGTCCCCAAGTTACAACAAGATAGGTTCTGTAGATTTGTTCTTAAATCTACCTCCAGCCATATATATATATATAATCGAATTCTCACAGGGACAGAAAGTGAGGTGAAATCTTCTGGACAGGGGCACAGACAGTAAAACAAACACCACAGGGGTGTTAACCCACCCCTGTGCTATCCAAAGCTAACATAGCTAGTATAGCTTTGGATAGCATAGGGATGAGTTAACACCCCTGTGGCATTTGTTTTGCTGCCTGTGCAAATTCAGAAGATTTTGCCTCACTTTCTGTCCCTGGGAGAATTTGATTTTGCAATATTTGACTTGTTGTGGAAACAAGGATTAGTGAGAAAGCTCCCATTGAGACACCTCCCCATGATAAGTCTGTCAGGAGAAAATTTCCCTTCCTAGGAGTAGATGCAGGCGAAACGTCAGGAGAGTTATTCCAGCCATGAAAGCCTTCTACAATACAGCTGATGGGGCGTTGTGTGGTTTCCGGGCTGTATGGCCCTGTTCTAGCAGCATTTTCTCCTGATATTTCGCCTGCATCTGTGGCTGGCATCTACAGAGGTCATGGAGCCCGGAAACCACACAGCACCCCAGTGATTCCAGGCTGTGAAAGCTTTCGACAAAGAGCTGGTGCTTTTCTGGTGGATGTTAGAAGGGGGGGGGGCATTTCTCAGGGTGAGGGAGAAGGACCCAGTCTGGTGGGTGTTTGCCCTTCAAGAAGAGCCGGAGCCGGGCGAGGAGTCGGGGGTGGAGGAGCCGCTGGACTCGTCGGAGGTGCTCTCCTTGGCCGAGGCGGCGCTGGCGCTGGCGAGGGGGGCTCCGGCCAGCAGGCCCTCCTTCTCCCGCTTCTTCTGCTTCATCCTCCGGTTCTGGAACCAGATCTTCACTTGGGTCTCGTTGAGCTCCAGCGTGGCGGCGATCTCCACCCGCCGGGCCCGCGTCAGGTACTTGCTGAAGTGGAACTCCTTCTCCAGCTCCGTCAGTTGCTTGGTGGTGAAGTTGGTCCGGAGGGCGCTGCCCGGAGCCACGCACAGGCCGTAGTCGGAGGCTTTCGCTGGGCAACGAGAGAGAGGAGCGGGGCGGAAACAACGTTAGAATAGCCGACCTCACGTTTCTGGTCCTGCCCCAACTTCACCCCAACCTACACTACGATCTGGAAGCTCTCTGAAACCCCAAACCGGGAAGGAACTCCCTCTACAGAGATACACATAGATTCAGTCCAATAAATGCGCTTTCACATCAGTTTAACTGCCATGAAATCACTGAATTGTGGTGCCTCGTCCAACTACAACTCCCAGACATCCGTGGCATTGCGCTAGGGAAGTTAAAGTGGCATCAAACAGCATTAATTCTGCAATATGATGCAAGCTGAGAAACTATTTGACCGCCTTCCCTCCCCGCCTTCCTCTCCTCTCTCTACGCTCCGCCTTTTTTAAAATCCCCATCAGCTCATAAAGACGATTTACAACGGGCTAAAACTCGGGACTTCATCACATTAGAGAATGAACCCACTGTAAATCCGGTTTCTGCCTCCTGCAGAATTCTAGGATTTGTAGTTTAGGGAGGTGCCTTTAACAGCCTCGCTAAACAACAAGCCCCTGAATTTTGCAGGAGGTAGAAATCGGATTTAAAGTCATTCTCGAGTGTGATTAGGCAGCCAAACGAAAAAAGAACTCATTGCAAAAAATATTTATATAAAGATAATATAAAATAATCAATATAAAAATATTTAAAATATTTAAAAAATAAAATATATAAATAAATATATAATATAATATATATAATATAAAGTATTAAAATATTAAAAATTAAAAATATAAGAAAAATATATATGGATAAATCAATATTTATGCTCATCAGTGCTAATCAAGGTGGCCAATTGCACCATTCACACTTGCCTCAAGCAGACAAGAGTTCTTTCTCCCACCCTGGACATTGCACAGTTTTCTAGTTTCCGACAGACCTCACCACCTCTGAGAATGCCTGCCATAGATGTGGGTGAAATGTCAGGAGAGAATGCTTCTGGAGCAGCCCGGAAAACTCTCAGCAGCCCAGTATTTATATAGTTGATTTTCCCTAACTGAAGCAAACAATCAGACTAAGGTTAATATTACCCAACCCAAACACCTCGCCCCATGTTGCATCACAAATGTAATTGTTTTGTTGTATAATCCTTCCCTTTGATTGATTGCTAAATAAACCAACAACTTCACAAGGTGGGGAAACGAAATCTGGGACTAGCTTCCAGGGACTGAGGCCCCTTCTACATTGCCCTACATCCCAGGATCTGATCCCAGATTATCTGCTTTGTACTGGATTATATGAGTCTCCATTGCCAGGTATACTGGGACGCCTTCTCCGTTTGATAAAACCCCACATTATCTGCTTTGAACTGAGATATATAGCAGAGTGGACTCAGATAACCCAGTTCAAAGCAGATATTCTGGGATTTAATGTATTGTCGAAGGCTTTCATGGCAGGAATCACTGGGTTGTGGCGAGTTTTCCGGGGTATATGGCCATGTTCCAGAAGCATTCTCTCCTGACCTTTCGCCTGGATCCTATAGAGGACCTCACAACCTTTGAGGTTGCCTGCCATAGATGCAGGTGAAACTTCAGGAGAGAATGCTTCTGGAACATGGCCATACAGCCCGGGAAAACTCACAACAACCCATTGTGGGATTTCCTGCTTTGATATTCTGAGTTATATGGCTGTGTGGAAGGGCCCTAGGATAAACAGATCCTGGGATATAGGGCAGTATAGAAGGGACCTCAGATTAGGCTGGCAAGTATCCTGATAAAGGAGACCTCTACTCCCTATAGAGGCAATAGTAATATTACATATTATTATTAATATTACATATTATTATTACATATTATTAATAATATTACATATTATTATTAATAATAATAATAATACACATTATTAATAGTAATATTAATAGTAATATTATAATATTCTGTAACATTACAGAAAAGGACACCTTGAGGTCTGGAAACATGACTATTCGTTGCTGCGTTTGACTCCAGGATTGCTTAGTGATGAAGGAATTAAACTCTGCACCAGGTTGGAAGCATTACAAATGGGAGGCATTACAAATGGGAGGCATTACAAATGGGTCCTCTGAATCAGCCCTGGGCATAAGGAAAACCCTCCATTCTAGTTCCACACCTTTGCTTTGATTCCCAACCCATCACCACCAAGACCATCTTGTCCTTAACGTCACCCCAAATGTCTTAATTCAGCATAACTACCCCATCCCTAAATCTCATTGTAAATCCTGGGGATGAGCCTCCTTGGCTTTATGTGGAGTTAAAATAAAGCCAGAACCTCAAATCTAGACCTCCATTGATCCCTATTAAAGGAGATTCATTCCATCAAAGCAGTTTACAGAAGTGTTATTTCTGATTCCAGTCTGGTTTGGATGAGCAATGGACCGGAGCTAGAAAATTGGGCTAAACGAATAAAACTACAACTCCCAGGATTTCATAGCACTGAGCCATGGCAGTTAAAGTGGGGTCACACTGCATTCATTCTACAGTGCAAAGGAACCCTCTATAGTTGTATTGTTTGTGTTTTTGTTCGTTTGTTTTGTTTTGTTTTTGCACAAAGAAGCCTTCAGATATCCCGAAGCCATTTGCACAAAGATGGAACTCCGGCCCCTTCCACACAACTGAATAAAATCCCACATTATCTGCTTTGAACTGGAATATATGGCAGTGTGGACTCAGATAACTTCAAAACAGTTATTGTGGGGTTTTCTGCCTTGATATTCTGGGTTATATGGCTGTGTGGAAGATCTCCCATTCTCCCCTGCTCCATATACAGGATTGTGTTTGAGCTCAAGGTACCCAACAAAATCCAGTGCTGAAATTGGCTTTCCTTAAGTCAGAACTTTCTCATTTTGAACTGATGAGGCCTACAGGAGTGAATAATGAGTTATGCTTGTGGGAAGAATATCTTTTTCTGCTTTTCCTTATACCTTGACTCATTGTAAGGCTCTTTTAGGATCAGAAATTACAACTACTTCTGGGGATTCTGGGATCCATAGTCTTAAAGTGAACTCTCCTAAGCACTGAGATCCTTTGTGTCCATAGCTTTATTGTTCTAGATCCGGTGTGAGATAGTTCTCATTCCCTAAGCCTGGAGATAACTCTGTTGTAGTCTGTGGCAATGGACCATCTTCTCAAACAGAACCATTTTCAAGGAAAACAAACTTATTTAGTAGTGAGCAAAGACCCAAAAGTTGGTGTCGCAAAGAATGAACGAAATACCAGTGTGTATGTGTGTGTTGGGCCTAGAGGGGTTGGGGGTGAGGAGAAAAGCACACTTTCCCTTTAGTCTAAGCCAACTCCTGTCCCCTCCTTTGATTGATGTGGAAGCTCTCTTTTTTGTTGAGAGCTCTCCATAGAGCCCACGAAATAAGGCATACTGTGATATTTGGATGGCAAATACAAGAAACTTAATGGAACTAAAGTTTCTAATATCCAAATTGTGGGATGGGAAAGTCACCCATGTTCTGTGACTAAATGGTTATTTTCTCTGAGGTGAGCAGTATTTTCTGTCCTGGTTTGCCATATGAACCAATTCACTCTCTTAAATGCCCTAAAGGGGCCAGATCCGTTCTGATTTTGGAAGCTAAGTAGGATCAGCTCTGGTTAGTACTTGGACAGGAGACTACCAATGAATACTAGGTGCTGTAGACTATATTTCAGAGCTAAGGAGTCAAGCTTAGAGACTGGACCTACACTGCCCTATATCTTAGGACCTTATCCCAGATTGTTTGGCAGTGTAGACTCATATAATCCAGTTCAAAGCAGATAATCTGGGATAAGATCCTGGGATATAGGGCAGCGTACATCCAACCTGAGTATCCCTTGCCTAGGAAAGCCCGACAAACCGTGGACAAGCTTGGAGTTACAAACACTTCCCTTTCCTGCAGTTTTTACCCTTTTCTTCTGGACCAGGGCATCAGGCAAGGATGCTGGTCTTCTTTCCTCCTTCTACAATCTTTGGAAGCATCATCCCCATCCCATCCTCTTCCTTATACATTCCCTTCTCCCAATCTAACCTCTTCCCTAGAATAGTTAGACTGACAAAGGGAAAAACCTGCTATTCTGGATATAACTGGTGGCAAAGCAGGTCTTGGAAAGGCATCTAAGCAGAGGAGAGAACTATTTGTGGCCAAGAGAGAATTAGGATCTTCCAGATCCCCAGTCATGCTGGCTAGGGGTGTTCTTAGGCTTCTTCCACACAGCTGAATGAAATCCCACATTTTCTGCTTTGAACTGGGATATATGGAAGTGCGGACTGAGGGCCCTTCCACACAGCCATATAACCCAGAATATCAAAGCAGAATAACCCACAATATCTGCTTAGAACTGGGTTATTTGAGTCCACATTGCCATATATCCCAGTTCAAAGCAGATAATGTGGGATTTTATTCAGCTGTGTGGAAGGGGCCTCAGATAACCCACTTCAAAGCAGATATTGTGGGATTTTCTGCCTTGATATTCTGGGTTATATGGCTGTTTGGAAGGGGCCTTAGAGTTGTAGTCGGAAAAGAACCCCTCTCCCAAGTTTGGTCATAGTTACATCTCCAGGAAGGGAGATGCTTCTCTTGGGATGCTTTGAGGTACAACAAGGTGGGAGTCAACCTGGATGCTTCTCACACCAGAAGCGTTATCAACCCGCTCCTGACACACACACACACACAAACCCCTGGGTGCAGTGTAGAAGGAGGTGGCTTCCTGAACCCTACATTTCTCCCCTTCTCTTGGGGCCCTTCCACACAGCCCTATATCCCAGAATATCAAGGCAGAAAATCCCACAATATCTGCTTTGAACTGAGATATCTGAGTCCACACTGCCATATATCCCAGTTCAAAGCAGAAAATGTGGGGTTTTCTTCAGTTGTGTGGAAGGGGCCTTAGAGTTGTAGTCCAAAAATAATCCCTCTCCCAAGTTTTGTCATAGTTACATCTCCAGTAAGGCAGATGCTTCTGTTGGGTTGCTTTGAGGTAGGACAAGATAGGGGTCAAACTGGATGCTTCTGACACCAGAAGAGACTTACAGTTTCTCGAGTCGCTCCTGACACGGGAAAACAAAAACCTGGATACAGTGTAGAAGGAGGTGGTTTCCTGAACCCTACATTTCTCCCCTTCTCTTGGGGCCCTTCCACACAGCCCTATATCCTAGAATATCAAGGCAGAAAATCCTACATTATCTGCTTTGATCTGGGTTATTTGAGTCATAACTCAGGGCCCTTCCGCACAGCCCTAGATCTGCTTTGAACTGGGTTATTTGAGTCCACACTCAGGGCCCTTCCGCACAGCCCTATATCCCATAAAATCAAGGTAGAAAATCCCACAATAGCTGCTTTGAACTGGATTATTTGAGTCCACACTCAGGGCCTTTCCACGCAGCCCTATATCCCTGAATATCAAGGCAGAAAATCCCATAATATCTGCTCTGAACTGGGTTATCTGAGTCCACACTCAGAAAATGTGGGATTTTCTGCCTTGTTATGCTGGGATATTGGGCTGTGTGGAAGGGCCCCAGGTTTCCCAAAAGTGCTGCCTGGGAGTTACCTGTTTTGGGGGGATTCCTTTTCACCTTCATCCAATCGAAGGTTTGGCTGGTGGCGGTGGCAGCCTCCCCGTGTTGGGTCAAAGAGGCAGCCCTGGGGTCTTTGTGCTCAGGTAAAGGGGGCGAGAGGTTGCCGAAAGGGAAGTAGCCGCCTTGTTCGGCCCCATAGAGGTGGGGTGGCTGGAACTGGCCCGTGGGGTCGGCGCAGAAGCTGTCAGGTAGGCTCCCCAGGCCCGAGGCAGAAGAAGGAGAGGCCGAAGAAGAAGACGGAGGCGTGGAGGGGGCTGCCAAAGCCACCGGGTAGGCCGAAGGCTGGTGGAAGTAGGCTCCCTCCGTCTCTGGGGGGCCGAGGTAGAACTGTTGGTTGAGGAAGCCTGCTCCGTAGAAGCCCCCACCGCCTGCCCCAGGCTGGGAGGACCGGGCGAAGGGGACACCAAGGCCAGTGGGGTTGGGAGGCAGTTGATGCTGGTGGTGCTGATGGTGGTGGAAGCTCTGTTGGGCGCTGGGTCCAGCAGCAGGGCCCACCCCAGCCGCATCATAGCGTCCGTCTGAAGTGTAGCTGTCAAAAGCTGGAGAAGCACCGGGACCAGATGGGAAAGAAGGGGCTCCTGGGTCGAAGGGCTGCTGCTGCTGCTGCTGTTGGGTCTGCTGCTGGTGAGGGTGAAAGTCCTTGGGTGCGTAGGCGCTCGTCCCACGGTTACAAATTGCATAGTCTAAGAAGAAGTTCATTCTAGGTATTGTTCCGGTGCCAATGATGGAAGAGGGTCGCCCTGTTTTACGGGGATTTCTTCTGCCCTACAACCTTTGGATAGTATGTCAAAGTTAAAGGGGGGAGGGAAAGGGAAGCGAGCCAGGGAGAAGGAGAGAGAGTCCCTTCCCATCTATGGACCTCGACTCCAGGAGCCCCCATATCCCCACCCCGCCTTCCTAGAGCCTTCAGAAAGGGACTCTTGGAGGAGGTTTGGGGGGGGGGGGTGTAGAGTGTGTGGGGTTGGTTGGGGGTAGGGTGGAAAGGGGGTCTGGACCACGTGGTGGCTTTGGAGCCCAATGAGCAAAGGCCTCCCGAAGTTTGTCAGATATCTACCATCATCCATCAAGTCCTTGGCATTTGCATGACAAAGGAACTTCAATCAAACTTTTCCCCATCGATCTGATTAACAACACGGAGGTGTCAAAGGGGGTGTGTGTGTTTCTTCTCCCCCCTCCCCCCTTAGAGAGGAGAAGAAGAAGAAGGGCAGAAAAGGAAGTGATAGAAGAAGGATGGGGGAGGAGAAGTTAGCACTATGCCAGGTCCCTTCTATGTGTTAAAAAGTCACTCTTCTCTGTGCTGCCGAAGGTTTTCATGCCCAGAATCACTGTGAGTTTTCTGGGCTGTATGGCTATGTTCCAAAAGCATTCTTTCCTGACGTTTCACCCACATCTATGGCAGGCATCCTCAGAGGTTGTGAGATCTATTGGAAACTAGGCAATTGGGGGTTTATGTAACTTTGGAATGTCCAGGATGGGAGAAAGAACTCTTGTCTGCTTGAGGAAAGTGTAATTGTTGCAATTGGTCATCTTTATTATAATTTAATGGCCTTGTAGCTTCAAAGCCTGGCTGATTGCTGCCCAGGGATCCTTTGTTGGGAGATATTAGCTGCCCCTGATTTATTCTTGTCTGGAATTCTCCTGTTTTTTTGAGTGTTGCTCTTTGTTTGTCTTGGCCGCTGTGAGTTTTCCGGGCTGTATGGCCAAATTCCAGAAGCATTCCCTCCTTCATTTTCCCTTCATTTATGGTAGGCATCCTCAGCGGTTGAGAAGACAGAACTCTTGTCTGTTTGAGGCAATTGAATGTGGTAGAGGCTCCTTCTTTGGAAGATTTTAAACAGAGTCAGTGGTTCTCAACCTGGGGTTCTCAGATGTTTTTGGCCTGCAACTCCCAGAAATCCCTGCCAGTTTACCAACTGTTAGGATTTCTGGGAGTTGAAGGCCAAAACATCTGGGGACCCGCTTCTAGAACAGAGGCTGGATGGCCATCTGTTGGGGGTGCTTTGAATGCAATTTTCCTGCTTCTTGGCAGGGGGTTGGACTGGATGGCCCATGAGGTCTCTTCCAACTCTATGATTCCATGATTCTATGATTCTATGACTACCTTGATTAGCATTGAATAGCCTTTCAGCTTCAAGCTCTGGCTGCTTACTGCCTGGGGGCAGGTGTTAGCTGGCCCTGATTGATTCATTTCAGAACACAGTACTTCCCCTGGCGGCTAGACTTGAAGCTAAAAGGCTATTCAATGCTACTCAAAGTGACCGATTGCAACATTCACACCTGCCTCAAACACTCAATAGTTCTTTGAGAACACAAAAATGCTGGACCACTGTAACAACTACCATGTGGTGGAGGCTCCTTCTTTGGAAGCTTTTAAACAGAGGCTGGATGGCCATCTGTTGGGGATTTGAATGCAATATTCCTGCTTCTTGGCGAGGGTTGGACTGGATGGCCCATGAGGTCTCTTCCAACTCTATTGATTCTATGATTCTATGTCAGACTACACAGAGAAGCATTGAAATCCACACCATGTGGACAATTTCAACAGAAAGGAGGAAACCATGAAAATGAACAAAATCTCTACCAACATTAAAACTTTAAAATCAGAACAGTAAATAAAGAACAAACACTCAGAAAACGCTCCAACAGAAAATCAGGGCCAGCTAACACCTCCCAACAAAGAGTTCCCCAGGCCCATGCTGTCTGGCCATGTTCCAGAAGCATTCTCTCCTGGTGTTTCACCTCCATCTATGGCAGGCATCCTCAAACGTTGTGAGGTCTGTTGGAAACTAGGCAAAGGGGGTTTATATATCTGTGGAAAGTCCAGGGTGGGAGAAAGAATGAACTCTTGTCTGTAGGAGGCAAATGTGAAATGTTGCCATTGACCATCCTTTAGAAAAACTCTAAAATCAGGACAGTAAATAAAGAGCAACACTCAGAAAACTGGAGAATTCCAGACAGAAACAATCAGGGCCAGCTAACACCTCCCAACAAAGGATTCCCCCAGGCAGCAAGCAGCCTGGCTTTGAAGCTGAAAGGCTATTCAATGCTAATCAAGGTGGCCAATTGCAACATTCACACCTGCCTCAAACAGACAAGAGATTTTTTTTCTCCCACTCTGGAAATTCTACAGATATATAAACCCAATTGCCTAGTTTCCAACCTCTGAGGATGCCTGCCATAGATGTAGGCGAAACGTCAGGGAAGAATGCTTCTGGAACATGGCCATACAGCCCGGAAAACTCATAGCAACTCATTCTTCTCTCCACGAATTCCAGTTCCTACAAAGGTGGCAAAAATCATCACAACTTCCCATTGGGAGAGAAGAGTTTGGGTCCCCTTCCAACTTGAGGAGACTCAGTATGGCGAGGGTGGGAAGAGGAAAGAACGACAGAGGAGAGGATGCTTTCCCTCCCCTCGTTACAAGAAATTAATCACCGAAAAGCTACTTCCACGTTTATGGAGTTTGCTTAAAGTGCTTTTGTTGCTGTCCCTTCAAGGGGAAAAAAATAGAAATAAAATCCCAAGCCCCCGAATAGCTTCGCTCTGCGCCTTCCTCGCCTTTGTGTCTAGAAGCGGAGTGCTTAAGAGCAATTTAATTCAATCAACATTCTAATGAGTTGTGAAATAAAGTTAGAAATGCAATTTGCCTTTTGTTGAAAGAGGGGTGGGGGTGGGGAGAGCCCAAACGAAATTGAAACGCGATCTACCCTATCCATCCATCTCTCTAAGTCTAAGCCATCTCTCCCTGCATTGGTGTTGTGGTTCATTTTCATCCCTCTCCACCTCGGGTTTTTCACACGATTTCTCACCCTTCTTCCTTTTCTCCTCAGAAACTATTATGACAGCGTGTTGTGGAAGGCTTTCATGGCCGGAATCTCTGGGTTGCTGTGAGTTTTCCTGGGCTGTGTGGCCATGTTCCAGAGGCATTCTCTCCAGACGTTTAGCCTGCATCTATGGCAGGCATCCTGAAGAGGTTGTGAGGTCTGCTGGAAACTAGGCAAGAGGGGTTTATATATCTGTGGAAAGTCCATATATCAAGGGAACCATTGACAGCATTGGGAAGCTGATGAATAAACACAACCTACAAACAAATCTACAGATCCCCTACGACAGCCTTTCTCAACCTGAGGGTTGGGACCCCTGGGGGGGGGGGGTCGTGAGGGTCGCTAAAGACTATCAGAAAAAAAACAGTATTTTCTGTTGGTCATGAGGATTCTGTGTGGGAAGTTTGGCCCAATTCTATCACTGGTGGGATAAAGAATGCTCTTTGATTGTAAGTGAACGATAGATCCCAGCAACTACAACTCCAAAATGTCAAGATTTACCCCCCACCCAACTCCACCTGTGTTAACATTTGGGCATATTGAGGTTTTATACCGAATTTGGTCCAGATCCATCATTGTTTGAGTTCACAGTGCTCTCTGGATGTAGGAGAACTACAACTTCCAAACTCAAGGTTAATACCCACCAAACCCTTCCAGTATTTTCTGTTGGTCGTGGGAGTTCTGTGTTCCAAATTTAGTTCAATTCCATCGTTGGTGGAGTTCAGAATATTCTTTGATTGTAAGTGAACTATAATTCCCAGCAACGACAACTCCCAAATGACAAAATCAATCTTCCCAATCCCACCAGTATTCAGATTTGGGCATATGGGGTATTTGTGCCAAATTTGGTCCAGTGAATGAAAATACGTCCTGCATATCAGATATTTACATTATGATTCATAACAGTAGCAAAATTACAGTTTTGAAGTAGCAACGAAAATAATTTTATGGTTGGGGGACACCACAACATGAGGAACTGTATTAAAGGGTTGTGGCATTAGGATTGTCGAGAACCACTGCAGCAAGAAAACCCAACAAATGCTATTTTCAGCAAAGGGCAAGAGGGATCCTCTCACCTCTGCAGGAGTCTGCCCTAAACCATGCAGCTGTGGACAAGTCCACATAGGGACCACCAAACGCAGGATTGCCCAGACACAAATAAAGGAATATGAGAGGCACTGCAGATTAACACAACCTGAGAAGTCAGCCATAGCAGAGTTTGGAAACAGGAATCCCTATTTTTTTGTGCTGGTGAAAAGTTCTGGCAACTTGAAAGCATACACCTTTCTGTCACAGCATATTCTTTGATAACACAGAAATGCTGGACCACTCTAACAACCACCATATCAGACTACACAAGGAAGCTATTGAAATCCACAAGCATGTGGACAATTTCAACAGAAAGAAGGAAACAATGAAAGTGAACAAAATCTGGCTACTATATTTTTAAAAAATCTAAAATCAAGACAGTAAATAAAGAACAACACTAAAAAAACAGGGGAATTACAGACAGAAAACAGGGTCAGCTAACGCCTCCTAACAAAGGATTCCCTCAGGAATTAAGCAGCCAGTCCTTGAAACTGCAAGGCCCTTCAATGCTAATCAAGATGGCCAATTGCTACATTAACACTTGCCTCAAACAGACAAGAGCTCTTTTACCCACCCTGGACTTTCCACAGATATACGAGGGTTCAATGAAAAGTAATGCCTCCACCTCAACAGATGGCAGTACTGGTATGTGGCAGGTACTGTCTTGTTCAGTAGACTTTCCTCTACAGTTCCATTTTGGCAGGAAGCCTTAGCATTGTATTGTCGAAGGCTTTCATGGCTGGAATCACTAGGTTCTTGTAGGTTTTTTGGGCTAATATGGCCATG